TTCTAAATCATTTTACTCAAAAATATATTGATATTTAAAAAAATTCTAAAAAATAAACTACTCGACTTAGATAAATGTTTTTACCATCACAATTGTTCTTATTAAAATCAGATCTAAAAATTATAGCATTTTTTAATTTTCCCAAAACCTTTTTATTTCTATTATACGTGTAATGCAAGTGACTATAAAATATACAATAAAAAAAAAAAATTAAATAATGAGTAGAATGATAGATACTTCATCTATTAGGTCTTCCTGTTACACCCTGTACATAATATTATATGTTATTGATAAAACATATGACTTATTCTTTGTGTGCACTTAAAACCACTTTAAAAAGTAGAAAGATATTTGCTTTTAAACGTTATAGTTCTATAAAGAATATCGTGAAATAACAATGGAGAATTCAGACTTTTATGATAATAGACAGCGCATGCATTGTCAATTCGAATGAAAATAAATTATAAATTTGTTGTTATTATTATTGTATACATCAGTTGTATAGAAATAACGAAATTCCTAGCTGATAAAATACAAACAGCATTACGTCGAATAAAATGATATAACTTCACAACACTATCCAAGTGTCTAGTGTCTCTGTATATAAGTATTTGGAATATTAAAAACGTCATGTCTGCGGTGTGAGTGATATTTTTTTAAATTTACAACTTAACAATTTTGTTCGATAATGACAGAATTTGTCGTGGAAATACTATAGTGACGTATTGAATATTCTAAATTCTTCGATTGCAACTCGATAATTTATTTGTTCGTAATATTACGGACAGACTAATATATTAAATCATATTATTATTGTACTTTGCCTCGATAACAATTAAATGCATTTTTCTGAATATCTATTATAATATTATGTCAGCGTTAATATTATATTTTTTACTAAATATTTAGTTTATTGCATATTATATAGCCATATTTAACCCAACGATGATACATTTTAATAAGTTCTGACTGGTATATTCTAGTGCCTATATATTATTTTGTTCTACGTGATGTTGTATATATTAATAACAATAATAAGTTAATAAGTCAAAAAATTATAGCGTTGGGTGTAATTTAGATAGTGGTTTTCATTCGATGTGCTCTCTGTTTCTGGAGTGGAGAGTTGATGTTAAGAGGACGCTACCCATACATTTGTTGTCTCCGTCTTATACACACATGACATAGCAAATTGTGGTTCACTAGTTTCAATAGTATGCTGTTAGTTTTGATACCATAGAGTGAATATTGACCTATCATAAAACTTTTAGGTAAGAACATTATCTGTGCTTGAGCTTTGCCGATTTTTCGAAATTTTCATTTTCAAGCAAATATGGGTATGTGAAATATCAGAAATTAAGATTACTGGTATCTCGCTTGAAAGTTAGAATATCGAATAAACTCTAATGCACAGATAATGTTCTAGAAATCTAAAAAATCGATAATAGGTCAAATCACTCTAATATCAAAACCATAACAGCATACTATTGAAACTAGTGAACGAAAATTTGCTTTGTCGTACGCGTGTAAGACAGAGACAACAAATGCATTTGTAGCATATCCTCTCAATATAATATCAATGGTGCACCACAATTATTATCGTTAGATCACGATAATATTAATGTAAAAGATTCAAACTATAATATTATATTGGTGGTCGGAGAACAAACAGTATACCTACCTAAAACAATTTGAATATGAGCGCATTTGTTCGTTAACATAGACATAGGTGCGAGTTGCGTCGTATTTACATTTATTTATCGGTTCTTTGACGAGTATTACCATATTTGCCCTGCCAAAACTTGTACATAATAATCGTGTAAACGCCGACGCCACCTTGTCAGAGCACGCGTACTTGCTAATAATATTAAGTAACCCGGACACGGTATATATAATTTATTTGCAGAACATTTTTGCTACACATCGACCTTATGATATTATTATCGTATTAAAATCGGACAGGACTCGGCTGTTGTTTGACAAATACGTTAAAAGGTAGTACCACCTACACATGTGTCCGTCGCGGACGGAATATAATTACACCTATATATACGTATATAATATTATTATAATATGGTATGCGGTCATCACGACTAGTACCTATATAGAAATCACACACACTGCAAGCCGCAACGGCGAGAAGAGTTTCAGTAAGTATAAAATTAGATTTTAGAAAAAAAATTGTTAAAATTGTATACGAACGGCGTCTGCGTGTATATATATGGCTTGTCACGAAGACAGGTTTTTTTATTATTATTATACATACCTAGGTATCTGTAATATTATTATAAATTATTTATAATATATAGTCATATATAGGTAGGTACTACATATTAATATTATATTTAATGTTTAAAATCTCGGAAAATCTCATAGCGATATTATTTATTCATTTTCACTTCAAGTATGATGTATAGGTACCTACATGTGAGTATATAATATATATACATGGCAAATAAAATATCTTCCATTTACGTGTTTGACAAACTAAACTGTCACACGAATTTCGTCCCCTTTCTATAGTATAATATATACAGAGTGATCTCCGAGAACCCCCATTTTTCTCAAAAAATGAATTTATTCAAATTCTAATCTTCTGAATATTAATATTATTAAAATATTATTATTATTTGACGAGTGTCTTGTGACTACTATAAGGATAATAGCCCATGGTCTTACGAATATATAAATCAATTAATGTGATATTGAATATATAGTAGTGTTTATAATCCGAGATTTTACAAAATATTTAATGTCGATGGATTAATACTAATTTATAATTATTCAAGTTTTAAAATGATCAAAGCCCCCCCCCCCTCCAATATCTTCCCAACACATTTTATCATGGTCATATTACTATATTGGAACGCACAGTTAAATAACTCAAAAACTAGGTACTCGCTCGAATTTCGATACAATTAAACATTTAAAAAAAGTTATCTGATGAAAATTTCCCAGGAAAAAATAATGATTCTTATTTGAAAATCAAAAGTCTACATCACGCCAAAGTAAATATTTTATCAGCTGGTATACAAATCTATCAATAATTGAAAACATTATCCTTATTAAGCATATACTTACCTACCTATACTTAAAAGTTTCAAAAATCAGAATTTCGATAAATTCATTATTAATGAGAAAAATAGGAGTCCGCGTGCTTGGTATATCACCCTGTATATTATAATAATATTGTGTGATATTTTCTACTATATACAGTTTATATCTTTCGTATGATATACTCATATTATGTTGTACATTGGTATAAGAAATATATGACTTATTAGAACGATCGAAACTCTCTAGGTCGGGGACACGAATCCATAATATAATATGCAGATTTTCTGATTGTACATTAAAATGAGTTATAATATACTTTTACAAGGAGTATTATAGTTGTACGGTTGTCATAACAAGATATCGGGTACAACGGACAAAATACACGACCGAGCTACTATCGGTTACCACGTGAGCAAATCATTGTCTTTTTACTGTACAGATATCAAAGTGTATTATTATTGTGTATATTCTATTTACCTAAAAGTTTCAAAAATCATAGTTTCGATAAATTAATTAATAATGAGAAAAATAGGAGTCCGCGTGCTTGGGATATCACCCTGTATATTATAATAATATTGTATCATATTATAATTAGTGTTTGAAGTATGAAATATTTCAACAAACGTGAAACATTGAATTTTTTTTTAACACAAATAAAAACCCAATTCATCTATTTTTAGATTCTGAGCGGAGCGAGGAAGCTAGCGGTTTTACAATGGTGTTTATTTTTTTTTTTTGATTTTTTTTTTCTTCTTTTTATATCCTGTATACAAAATGTCTACCAGAAGAAGTGCTTCGATTCCAACATATAGTACCTTATCTTTTAGGAAATTGGATCAAGATGGTACTTTAAAAAGGTCATTTTTCGATTTTACCAATAGTTATTAAATAACACGGTACAAACCACCGAAAAATTACGAAAAACCTCTAAAAATTTGATTTTAATTTCTAACACTTTATTTATTACCATAGAAACGAATAAAAAATAATAATATTATAATATTTATTCAACTCACATGATATAATAATTCATGACAATATAAAATATCTAGACGGACAAACCGTCTCCGTTCAGAATCGTTTTTCTTATACAATGATAAAATATCATTGAATTCAAGTTTAATACAATCCATTATACAATGACCCACTTGTAACCTACTGTACAGTAGAGCGACATCCACTTACCAGATTTTTTTTTAACACAATGTTCAGTATTTTAAATTCTAATATAAGAATTCAGTATAGGTATACAATATACATGTATAATATTGTATACCTACTTGCATCATATAAGCATTAAAATATTTAAAAATTTTGAATACCATTTTAAATGTATAATACAAAAGTTTGGATATACATATAGGTACCGTACAATTATGAAGGTAATTTATGACAATTATATGTAAATATAAAACTTATTTAAAAATCGAAAAAAAATTATTAAAATACTGAAATATTTCATACATTTTAAATATTTAATTTTTTTATATTTCATGAAATTTTCAGACACTTATTATAATATACTATACACAGTTTATATTATCTTTCATATGATATACTCATATTATGTTGTATAATAGTATAATATTATACATTTATACAGTATAGAAATCACTTCAGCGGGAATTGGTATTAGAGATATTATAATATACGGGTCAGATAAACTCTCTAATTCCCGGCACGAGTTCACAATATATGTAGATTAAAATGAATTATTTCATTACGCCTACAAGGTATACCGTGGTTATTAGAACGAGATATCAACGGACAAAATACATCGCGAGTTCCTATCGGTCACCACTCGAGCAAATCATTATCTCTTTTTACTCTGTGCTGCAGATATGGATATTGTGTAGGCATATTCTATGTACAAACACGTTTCTGCGATTTATGGTGTTTTCGCAGTGATTGCGATTAGCGTGTCAGTAGTGTGAAAACTTCCGATCATGTCGCGTCGTCAGATCACGTTGGACGAGAAAATCGGTATAATCGGACGGTTGGAAAACGGCGAGGAAAGCGGCTCGATCGCTAAGGAATTCGGAGCCTCGACCATATGGACCAGAAGGGATTCGCTGAAAACGATGATGGAAGAGGAGGCTTCGCTTCGGACGAAACAACTGCTCACCGCCCAGCACAAGGACCTCGAAGAAGCCGTGCTGGCGTGGTTCAAAAAACAGCGATTGGCCAACGTGCCCGTCAGCGGTCCCATGTTGAAGGCCAAGACCGAACAGCTGGCCGACGGGTTGAAGATAGAGGATTTCAAGTGCTCTGCGTCTTGGATTCTGAGCTTCCGACAACGGCACAACATCGGCTTCGGAAAGATGGCCGGCGAGTCGACAGCGGTGTGTTCCAGGTGTCACGACGACGTTTGGCCGTCCGGAACGGGTTACAGTGAATCTGACGAACAAAGTTTCGTACTTCTCGATTCGGACGGAAGTTGCGTACTTCTCGACTCGTGATAATCCGAAGCAAAAAAGCGGAGCCAGATGATGATGATTCCGTCGAGCCCGGTGATGATTTTGAAACTGTACCTATATATCATAAATATCCAAAGATAGAGCTGCAACGATAAAATTTGACTGCATAAAAAAACACACAGGTGTTAAAAAAGCGTTGATTTTATATCAGAACCTTCATTTGACACTGTAAAATAAATTCCACGAAGCAAAGTTCGATCAAGATTCTCTTCGGGAAATTGAATTCAAGTGATTAAATATTGTATAATATTAATAATTTACTGTATTTTGACGAGAGGTGTATAATAGCAATAAACAACGGTATTGTAACTCAAGTTGAAACCTTCTGTTTTGTTGGTATTTTCCCGTTTTTCGTTTCCGACCTACTCGTACCTAATCGGTCTCAAAAAACTTTCGATCAAATCGCATACGACGAGTGAATACAACGTGCTACGTTAGTTAAAAAAACTCGCAGGCCATTGGTCGTAACCGATTTGTCTATATTATTATTATTATTATTATTCCGAACAATTCTTCTGAAAGTCTTTTTAAACTTTTTATTGTTCGATCGTGGATAAGTCGTGTAGGTTTCAACGTAAGTATTGCATTTAATATAGTCCTCGTGTAACACTACGCCCTAGATTCATATTATAAAAAAACACACAGAAACGTTTGGAGCGAGATACTCATAAATAATATAATTTTATTATAATATACATCTTACATACTATTATTGTTATCATTATTAATACTTTTCGTGTAAATATATTGTTGCGCGCACATTTGTTGCAGGACTCTACACCTACCTACCTATACTTAATATAATATACCTATGTATAGATACTATATAATAGTGTATAGTGACAGCACATAATATTGCGTCAAAGAAAGAACGAACGAAATTACCGAATTCCGAACGACTCGTTTATTATATTATATCGAGCGCGCATTATTCTTTCTTGCGCATTGTCTTAGATTTAATTCGATTTATGCAATACGTACCCGTTATTTGGCCGGTGCAGGAAAAAAAGAGAAATAAACATAATATAAAACGTCGTGTATTCGGACGCCCGCGAAAACCAATCGAACACATAATATGTACCTATATATTATATTATATGGGTATAATATTATTATTATCATGATTGGGTTGCGCAACCGAAATATTCACGTGTCATTCGTGTGCGGATAGTTACGACCAACACATGCAATATAATACTTGCAGGTAACGAAACGGCATTAATACGATTTGTTTACGTAAGTCAAAGGCTCATGAGAATTCGTTCAATTAAAAGGACGTGTATAATATATTATATAGGAGGTACCTCATAAATACAATATAGGTATTATCAGGTGTAGAGATTTGCGCTGCTGTGGATTACGTGTCCAGCCGATAATTGCGTTTCGATACACGTCTGTGGGTGTTTCAGAAAATAAAAAAATAATAATAATAATAACAACAATAATAGTAATAAAATAAACGTGCGGAGTACAATGTTCATTATTGCCAGTTATGGTGACCGTGGTATAATTATGTAACCCGAGCTGACGCCGGCACACCCCTCGATAGAGATAGCTCACTGCGGATATCGATGGCTTACCGAATATCGAATATAGATATAGGTATATATATATACCGGACACCAGGTGTACCTACCTACCTATAGCGTATATTATATGTATATTATAGGTGATATGGTCATTGGTGCTCGTGGACATTTAATGAAAAAACGAGAGCATCTAGGTCACAGGAATCGGAAATATGATTAGTAGATACTACATAGATACATGTTTATAAGTATTAAGCTTGGCGTTTATGTAATTGTTGATAGTACGTACGGTATTATGTCATAATATTATATTATGTGACATGATATCATATATTATATCTGGATATTGGACTCCTCTGCAGCAGTTCACTAACGAGGACCAAATAATGTTACATTTATATAATAATAATCTGATCGAGACTAGTTATTATATGTATAGCTGAAATAGTAAAATAGCTGTTTTCCATGGCACTGCCGTAACCCTTGAAATAAGTATACTGAAACGAGGGTCCTTCGTAAGTGGCACGATTTACAATATTTCATTGATTACCTGTATAAATAAGACGTTTAATAGTTGGGTACGTGTATAAAAGTTAATGTGGAACAAAACTTAAAATATAAAGTCATGCTAATTTACCGTACAAAACCTTACTTATTGCATAGAATTAGGAGATTACCTAATAATAGGTAATAGGTAATAATAATATTGAAGTTATGTAAGTATATGACTGCGTACGAGGTTAGAAATTAGAATATATACCCACGTCGTTAATATTATTCACGTCTTTACAGATTGTTATTATAGACATAATTTACTCAATTTAGCCGATTTTTGTTTTTAAATTTGTATTTACTTTTGAGAATAATAAATAAATTATATACTTTATGTGCGATATAGTGTTGAAAATATGATATATAATAATATTATAATATATTATTCAAATCCAGTGGCGTATATACAGAGGAGAGGGGTAGAAATTCAAACACCAGCCAAAAATAAAAGAGTGTGTGTGTGTGTAGAATTATTATTATTAAATTTGCTGTCAGAATTTCTATAAATCCTGTACTCCACTATTACCTATTTAAATTAATATTTTCAAAATATTTGGACTAATTTTAAGATATTTAAAGGCATTTTAAATTTTCTAACTTTTATTTGGTTGGGATTGACTTGTAAGTTATTAACAGTTAGTCATATCGTTTGAAATAATATTAAAATAATAAATAATTACTATATAATATGATAATTTTTTAGCAAAAATTAATTCAACCTACCTTATGACTAATAGAAAAATATATTTATTAATATTATCGTAAATATAAAATAAGATACACTTAGAAATATTTTCGGAAAGAATATGGTCTTCGTTTCGAATCATTTTTCTTATGTTATGATTTATCATTGAACTCAAAGTTAACAAATCCATTACAGTGAACTACCCTGCAGTTTCGAGGTATATTTGATGTACCTACTATTATACAGCAGAACGACCTTTTGATTTCATAATCCAAAGCATAATAATTATCTTCAGAATTTAAATATATATTTGAATTTTGAACGAGTTGTTGGTATAATTTTGAAGTTTAGATGAGAGGAGTGGAGTTTTACGGGGAAGGTACCTACTATGCAAAATTTTGGTTTACTACTCCACTCATCTAAACTTTAAATACCTATCAAGTTATAACTAGTTAATTATTTACCCGGTACTCGTTTGAAATTGAATTTTAGGTTTTGGGCGGAGTGATGAATGATGTGTGTATGCCTGAAGACACTTTTTCTAGTAGAAAATTCCTCAGATTGTAAACTCAAGGCAGGTTTCTGGTACCAAAACTGGTCTAGTTTGCACTTTGATTACATTTGTTACCTAGTCCGGAAAATCGAAAAAAACTACGAAAATCAATTGTTAAAAATAATGGTTATGATTTATAAAAAGTTAGACTGTTTTTGCTCAGAATCGTTTTTCATGGTGTACACATATTTATCGTTGAATTTAAATTTAACACATCACAGTGACATTACAATGACTTACTCAATTATGAGGTACCTCGACCACAGCAGAGCGGTTACCTACTCGACGAATTTTTTTTACATATTGAAATTCTCATCAAAATATTTTGCTTAGAAATAGAAAATTAAAAATATGGTACTTATGCGTTTTAAAAACTAAAAAAAAATGATAACGAGTATAATATTAATTTTTTTTAAATTAAAAAAAAAATAATTCCTTATAATGTTTATATTTTGTAAAAACGAGTGATTATCTTTAAAAGAATAATCCTGTATAATATTATAAGATTCAAATGCAAGGTAATTAGCGTTACCACGTTACTATAATATGTACTATCTACTAATGAGTAATAATTAACTTAATATTTAATTTTAAGATTTTAAACATATACTTAAATCATTAAATATTTGAGTAGGTTATTATTTTAAACCAATCTAAAAATACATCTTACTTATATAGTTAAATATTGTATTTATTAGAGTATAAACAATTTTTTTAGTCCAACCCATCAACATAGCCAGGCCAAGGTAAAATGATTTAAGTAAAAAGTACTATACAGTTTTTTTTGGTAAAGATACCTATCGGTTTTTTTTTCAAATAATAAAATACCTATATTTATTGATCAATTTGATAATTGTTAAGCATGATTATATTAAAAATATCATCAGAAAACGATATTCGTTAGGTACACACACATTTCAACCAGTAGTCCATTCTCGAATTATAATAATGGTTTTGGCAGGTATACTATATTTATTTATTTGTGGTTCGTTTATTCATTTCTCAGACTTCTTCAGACTCGACGAATTTTTCGTTTGTAAAATTAATCTAATACTTACCCCAAACTGTTTACGTGTATACGAACAACGTGACAATTTACAGTGTCCCAATTACCAAAATGTATAATTATACCTTAGTATTATTTTTTTTTTATAAATTTATGCTTATCGGATTGGTCATAACTTGTTTCCAACTTATTTATGCTCGGAGTGGTGGATAGGGGTTGTCCTCCAAAAAATTTAAAATTTAAAAATATTTTTAACCTTTCTATAACCAAATAAATAATTATTATAATTATTATTAATTATCAACAACACCTAAGTTTTTAACACAATTGTAATTATGACATATAATTATATGTTAATATCTACTATATTTAATGTACCAAATGTCTAGGTGTTAGTATGGCTAATGATCCACGAAAATACACGTAGGACGTAGGTGTATTCGTGTATTTCGAGTACACGGACTTTTCACCATTTTAGGTTAGGTATATGGGTATATGCGTGATGGAGACTTTTAAATTATTTTGGTGTAGGATGTACTTTAGTTACTAGTTGGGCCTCAGGCCTAAATTTTGTAAAAGCAATACATTGACTCGGAGCTGACGGTGATATTATAAAACTCTTAGGTATATAATATGATTAAATATGTTTTGTTTTTC